TAGTGCAAGGAGAAAAACAATTGCTGAGAAAGATAAGGCAATGCACAGAACGAGAACCTGAAGTCGCTAAAGCGCTACAAACGCTAAAAGCAGCACCGGTACAATTACGTAGAGGAGTCGAAGAGTGGAATGTGGAGGATGGATTGGTGTTATTCCGAGGACTGGTTTACGTTCCAAACGATAAAGAGATCCGCCGAGAGATATTGGAGTTGTTTCACGACTCTCCACTGGCTGGACATCCTGGACGTGCCAAAACCTTAGAATTGATTTCCAGAAATTATTGGTGGCCTTCAATGACGAAGTATGTCCACGATTACGTAGATGGCTGTGATAGATGCAGAGCAACGAAGATTCATCCAACGCAACCACATGGTCCGCTTAAACCAAATGAAATACCAGCGGGACCTTGGCAATCAATCACTTGTGATTTGATAGTAGATTTGCCTAAAAGCGAAGGGTTCGATTCTATTTTTGTTGTCGTTGATCGATACACAAAACAAACGCACATCATGCCTACAAAAAAGGAAGTTGACGCTCGAGGAATCGCGAAACTTTTCCTAGATAACGTATGGAAACACCATGGAACTCCGAAACAGGTGATATCGGACAGAGGAACACAATTCGTCTCCAAGTTTATGGGACAAGTGTCGAAACGCCTAGGCATAAAATGGAACATGTCAACGGCTTATCATCCTCAGACAGACGGACAAACAGAGAGAATCAACCAAGAAGTAGAGCAATATCTGAGAATGTTCACGTCTTACCGCCAAAATGATTGGGTAGACTGGCTTCCGATAGCAGAATTCGCTCACAATAACTCTGTCACTGTAACGGGTCATAGTCCATTCAAAGTACTCTACGGATACGATCCAGAGTTCACTTTTTCACCAATTTCCAATTCTAAAGTACCTGCAGCTGATGAACGAGTGGATGTAATGAAAGAGGCGAAGGAAGACGCAGAAAGTATGCTGCGAATGGCGAATGAACGGATGAAGAGATTCTACGATAAAGGAGTAAAAGACGCACCACAATTCAAGAAAGGAGATCTGGTCTGGCTCAATGCCAAAAATATCCGTCAGAAAAGACCAAATAAGAAACTCTCTGATCGACGACTTGGTCCATTTGAAGTGCTAGAGAAGACGGGTGATGTAAATTACCGCCTGAACCTTCCAGCAAAATATCAGATTCATCCGGTATTCCACGTAGAATTACTCACTCCGCATTCCCCCTCGACCTTAGTCCAAAGACTTCCACATCATCGTCCGCCACCAGAGATCTTATCAGAAGGCGATTCCGAATGGATAGTACGAAAAGTCCTAGACTCGAGACTGCACAGATCAAAACTCCAATACCTAGTAGAGTGGGAAGGATATCCGATAGAAGAAGCGACATGGGAACCTGAGGAAAACCTTGAGAATGCACGGTTGAAAGTTCAAGAATTTCACCGGCAAAATCCGAAGGCATTAAATCCCCGCAAAATTAACAAATCGGTGTTCGAAACCCAAGAGTTTTTGGAATGGCGCAAGAAGTTTATTCGTCCTAGTTTCATTCGCGATGACGCTCATCCTAGAGAGGGGGTAATGTCACGAGTTCCAAATACAAACCATTATTCATTCCTAAATTCTAAGTCCTTTAAGCGCCCAGTCACAGCGCCTATTCATAAGAATGTATTTACTGTTGAAGAAGTTCCTATTGTTGCGTCTATTGTAGAAATACCAGAGTCACGTGATCTATCGGACAATGCCGAAGATATTGATGTCATGCCTCGCAATACTCTTGGAATGTTCCAGAGTCTTACTGCGGCTGCGGCACATGTTATGACATCATAGTTATATATAGAATCGTACGATACCTTTAATTATTCTGATTGGTTAGTTAGTTCATACTCAGTTTCAGTCTCAGTTTCAATATGTGTATATAGGTAGCTCGTCGTAGTCAGTAGTTCTTTAGTTCAAACCTCTTGTATCTCCAAGTGAGCAATCCAAGACGTACCTGCTGCCTTATCCTCTTTGTGATTATCTTGTTGTTTGAGTCCTAGTCTCTGCCCTGCGTTAATTCATTTAAGGGGTTGTGACAGAGAGGCGCTTAAAGGTCTCGTCCAAAAGTGATAAGGTGTTGTCGGAATGCATCCTGAGTTTGGCGAGAGCGTGCCATTGGGCAAACATATACAAAACTGACTGTATTATTGCATCGTGGTCACTTGGAAAAAGCCCTTCGAAGATAGGCATAGCACACTGGAATAGATGTCAATCACGTATGTCAGCAAATTGACCAATAAAACGAACTTGCAAAATATCTTCAAAGTCTCGCGCTGCAAGTCGTTTCATCTCCGATGTGTTGTTAGCAAATTTGCATATGACACCATTGCCATACGACGGGACACAGTGAAATCTAAGATAAATGCCGTCAGTTTGAAGTCTGTGAGCAGAATGATATGCGACAAACCTGTTGTCGAGAGTTGCCACCAGGCGGTCGCCGCCCGGAATCGCATGGAGTAGACGAATGAGGTGGGTAAACAGAGCCTTCCATGTACCTAGCTCACATTCGTGCATGAAATCGACAACTAGCATGCGAAAGTCGTCCAAGCCTAGGGGTCCGAGTTTTTCTACAAATGAGTTCTAGTCACAGGTGAGGTAGTGCTATTAATCGAATGTATCGACTCCAAAGGTACTCATCATAGTTGGCACCCATGACCCTTCTCCAAGAGTTGCCTGTACCTTTGAGCCGTCAACAGTATTTCCAGACCTATAAATGAACTCGCGTGCGCTGGTTACCCTCTTCAGACAGTAAGTCCGAATGTTAGCTAGACGATCATGCATATCTTTAGCCAGGCCTAAGAGATCAAACATGGCTTTCGGCATGAGACAGCGTGGACATGGGCAAGAACCCATGTCCTTGATTGCCGCAATTAAAGCCCTAAAATATTAATCATTATCTCAACATAGACACGGAAAAAGCATACTTTTCTGGATAATCAGCCGAGTAAGTGAATATACGCGGAAACACCCTTCTTACTATGCCATCCGGACACCGGAGTACAATGCCATGGCGGTATGCTTCAAGGAAGTCTGCATCCAACAAATGTTTCCAGCATGCGTGAAATAAGTCCCGTCGACAATGTGCGTGAAGTGCTGATATGCCACTTTTCGATATCTGAGGTAGGACGCTAAGGACGTCCTTGACACGATCCGGAAGCTAAAAATATGTGAGAGAGATGTACGATACAGAGACAATTAACATACCAAAGGTAAAAATCCGACGAGATGGCACGCACCAGATTTAGGTGCTGAGCGTGCATATTTCGTTAAATTGCCGAAGTACAGATAAAGGGGCCAAGCCTTGGCGGTTCCGAAGGTTGCGAGATGAGTCGCATTGGAAAAGAACATTAATCCAGCAATGACGTGTTCGAGTGAGCAGCCAGGCTCTTTCGGTTGCCTCTGCAGGTCATCCTGAGCTTCAAGCCATGAGTCGGATGTATAAAGTTCATCGAACACACGTTCTTGATGATCGTCCAGTGGGTCCTTCCACAGGTGCTTGAAAGGAAACAGATGAAATGCGCTGGCTTGGACGTCAGCGAATGCGGAACGGATCACGCCTACAAGTGGTCGATAATGGAAGCCCGAAACGCTAAATGACAAAGATGGGTCATCTTTCAACTTGGTGGGTATGTCGAGGGTGACATCTGTCTTTAACCAGTCATCCGGAAACGTGGCAGTGTCCTTTCCTACGTCGTCCAGTGCACGCAAACTCTTCTTCACTGAAAATTCATCCAGGTCATTGGGATTGAAGTCCTCAGCCTGAATTACATCTTTAACAAGGCACGCCACTTCATTTTCCGACTTTTGATGGCTGCCGGAGTTCATCCACATCATGAGACGGTGTAGAGAATCATGCCTCTCATGGCGTGATATGGTAGTTTTCACCAAGGAGTATACAGCACGAACTCATAGCATTACTCTGTGCGCTACCCGCAGCTATCTCTATATGAGGCGCAGCTTTCCCACGCAACGCGCGCCATGCGCGCACCATTCCCGTGCTTCATGATGTATACGCGCGCGCGCGTTCCCGCGCTTGCGCGCCCTATAGCGCCAGCCATCCAGATGCATCCATCCACTGTCCACCAAGCTCCCTAGTATGTATATTTCCATTTCCTTTATTAGCATAGTTCCACCTTTATTTTTATCATAGTTTCTCACTCATATATATTTTTACATACCTACTCGGTAGCGCTTCGGCTCCGCATGAGCGCGCTTAGGCGCGCTATATAAGCGCCAGCAGTACATACTACACTGGACCTACTTTTCCTACTTTTCACTTACTAGTTACTACCCACTTACTACTTAGCAGAATATAGTAGAAAGCTATTCCTTTACATTTTGCACTCTTATATCTCTTATCTTGCTTTATATCACTACTTAAGCTTAGTTTCTCATTTCCGCATACGCGCGCGCACTTTCCCGCGCTTCGCGCTAATACGCGCGCGCGTTCCCGCGCCTTTGTACCTTGCGCGCTCCTGCGCTTTCTCGCACTTCGCTTAAGCGCACACTTCTAGATCCTTGCTGCACTCACTTCCCCTATAGGGTCGAACGCACTTGCTTCTCAAGTAACGCAGACTAGGCAGCGCGCGACCTTACAACTTTTACAGATACAGTCAGGAGCTTCTTTTGTTCCTCATTGTATTGTTGTTTCTACAACGGTAAGTAGTCATGTTGGGGAAGGGATATGGCGGTTCTGGAGATTGTCCGGGCATCTGGGCGTCATGTGCATTAGAGGTACTCATTGGACACGAAGTAGATAGTAGCGAGGACGAGATGAGTCTATCCGGCTCGAAGGAAGGCTGCCTAGGATAATGTCGACATAGCCCAAATGCGTTAAACGCCGTTTGAAGAGATTTATGCAGCGTCAAAATTACTCTTTGGATCCTGTGCTGGGGTGGAGCCGGATTCGCAGTCATGGGAGGCGGATCGCTCCCAAAAGAATCAGAAGGGTTTATGTCTTCATCAGTAGGTAGAAGATCTGTGAAATTTCTCAGGACTAGCCCGACCATGTGTCGCTGGTGTTGATTTAGTGAATCTAGTTATCCATAAATTTTATGGTGAGGCAACAGACACAAAGTGTTACAAAGGTGCGCACCTGTGATATTATCATCTTGTTCAATGATATCGTCCATCACAGTATCCAACATGTCTGTATCCTGGAATGCCAAAGTTGAGGGGCTAGCACGAACGTCACCACGACAGGCTGAATTGATAGGCGTCGTTGGCATGCAAATCGCGCTATGTTTGCAGTGTGCGATGGGTTTCAAACGACGACTGTTTTTAAATATGAATGGTTCGAGCTGTGCCAGATGATGATTGGAGGTGAGCGAACTCAGAAGGTTGAACCTAGGACTTACCAGAGTGCCCCTAGTACTACTAGTTGGTAGTAGTTGCAATGATTTAGTCGACTCCTTTGCCCGGTCCCTTCTTTTCTGTGCGGCTAGAGCACTTGCCTTCTGATAGTGTTTGCATGTCGAATGATGTCGGCTGAGTCCATGAAAGTCCATATCGCTCTCCCAAGAGCAATGCAATGTACTGCAGGACACCATTGAAAGAATTAAGATTATCACCAACAGAACATAAGGCGGCTGAGAGAAATACATTCCTGGGCCTAAGTGACTATGCAGCCATATGGACCCGATGCAATAGAGACTGGATTGCTTTTTTTCCAGTCAAAGCCAGTCCAAACAACAGAATGCTGACTCAGGTCTGCCACCTTCATACATATCCTTATTGGACATTTCTATATTCACTCAACAAATCAATGACGTAACGTTGAACTGTTCGATTCGTGCCATGGATACAAAGAGCATATATTGATTATTAAGAGATAAATCTGGTGAATCTTACACGCTGATGTTGCACTTAGTAAATTAAGAATCAATATAATGAAGTCTACAAGGGCAGATTAAGGTGAGTAACGAGTTGCTGAATAAAGTACATATGTATGAGAAAGCATCACTGCGCCTGCAAAACCCACTTGGGTTTGTAATGCGGCAAGATGTTCTTTGCTTTCTCCACTTTCCGTGCCCACTCATCTTCCTTGCATCTAAGGAGCGTCAATAATTGGGTATACTGCTGGACTCGCGACTGTGCTGCGGCATAGCTTGCGTGAACTGTGTTGATGGTATACTCGGTGAACAGTCTGTCTTGATCATCTTCATTCAACTCAATGTCATCAAGTGACATCTTACAGACCCCTTAGTGATTGTGGGGTAGATGAAGCGTAAATCCTTGTACGTACCAAATGTGCCTGCAGCTCTCGGTTATGTCCAGCCATTTGTAACTTCGAAGAGCAGTCCGGTTCTGCAGGCATACTGGAGTTATTGCATCCATGAAGAAAGCAGCTAAGATGTTGAGGTGTCAGGGGAATTGGGGACGAAGTTGACATTTCCAAAGTGATTGAAATCTCGAAATATATAATGGTTCGAAATCAACATTGTTTAAACGAGCATTTATGCTGTTATACAAAGATTTAAATCGGAGTAATGCGGTATTTTAACTATGCTCGTCACGCATGTCACACATCCATAATAGGCAGTAGGACTTCGTACACCGCTGATATTAGTTTGCTCTGAAATTTGAATAACATCTCTGGCCTGCAATCACAATGTAGCACACTCATATTTCACTCATTTTCATCAGTAAAATCACAAAGTCCTTATTTGGCTTGGAGCTGATTAATCTGTGGTTATGTGTAGAATAGAGTAGAGACTTTAGATTAGAATATTTGACATCAAGACTAAGAGCCAGTTCAGCAATGAGATGTTGACTGAGGTTTGGCAAATGTCAGGTGAGGCTTCTTGGCTTGAAGCATCCCAGATGTTGGAGCTCAAATTATAGCTGTATTTGTCCAACCCTAACACCAGCTGTTATCGATACACTATTAGGCAACTGCACGGGTAAACCCCCGGGTGTCAGCGCTCGTACCCACACCCACACCCGGAGGAATACCCATACCCTCAAAGCGGGTCTGGGTTTTTGTGTGGGTGGACGGGTAAATGACCCGCACAGTAACCTGCAAAGGGTATAATCGCGGGTCGCTGCAAATTCAAACAGTTCATGTACAAAATGTAGCTACTCTAATTTAATGGCATCCCACCCAATCTCGAGCTCCTGCTCCTCCTCACCTTCAACATCTGCAAGTGCTGCAACAGACATGACATCCTCTGTCTTCACTAGATTGAGCTTGCTCCAATATGTGAGGCACAGGAGTGCGCGGGTTGACTGAGCTGATAATTGAGAGCGAACATGTGAAAGGAGGAGATGCCCACGACTAAAAAGACGTTCAACATCCACGGAAGTAGCTACCATAGTCAAATAGTTAGCTCCTTAATACGAAATAAATGTAAAAACAAAACATACCAGGTATACTAAGATAATCTAACGCCATGCAAGAAAGGCACAGATAAACAATACAACATTCATACCACCAAGCAAGGGGGTCCTCGACATGCTCAATGTCAGTGCCCAGGTACCTGTCAAGTTCGTTTACAGAGTGACTTGTCGGGGGTGCAAGCGCAGGGATATTGTCAAAGATGTTGCCCTGTGGATGTAGATAGGTTGCGAGTCAGCGAGTGCATCAAAACAGACAATAAAACTCACCGAAGAAACTTCTGCTGCTATACCATCGTCTGCCTCAGAGTCTGTGTGTGAGGCTGCCAACATTGAGTCAGAGTATGAGCGCTCAAATGTCTCCCGTACAAGTGTCTCGGCAGTTTCAATCCAAGTGTCTTCCCACTTCGCACATCTGAAATATGTGAGTTTGTGACGCGGGTGTAGAACTAAAAGTAAGAGGTCAGACAAATGACATAGATTAAGAAAGAAACTTACCCATGGCAATACGGTACACTTCCAATGTATCTGTCAGTTGGCAATAGCGATTCAATGTCTTTTTGGCGAGTCCTACAGCTACATGAATTGATGGAAGGAATGAAGCATTCAGGGAGTAAGTGGTCAGTTTCTCATCGATTAGGTCCATTGCTGGGATAACGGTCACCAAGTTTGGGTTGAACACGAGAAGAACAGCGTTGCATCCTTGAGGATCTAGAGCAAAGTGTTATGTAAGTGTTACTAATTAAGTAATATACAGTGTTACATATGGTTACATATGTGCACACACCTTCAAGATGTCCCGTAATTGCTCCACAATTACCCATTTGTGGTCTGTTAACTCAAGTTGTCACAAGCCCAGGTCTCGTCGCTGGGTCACGGCATCAATCGCCTAGTGCTGCCGAAGTCCGGTTCAGTCCGGTTCTTGGGCCAAATTTTCCAAACACCAAACCGAACCATAGGTTCGGTTTAGCTGTTTGGTCAAACCCTGGACCGAACGTCACCGAACGTGTTCAGGAGGTCCAGTTTGCGTTCGAACTGGGTTTGACCAAGCTTGCAGATGATGGGCCGGAGCTCCACCATGAACACCATGCACAAACGCCCAGTGCACATCAGCAACTGCTGACATGGCTTAGATGAGTGTGGACAAGAGTAGGAGGAGGGAAGAAGATGAGGAGATCTCGCGAAGGGTAAGTGGGCATTGGGAACACAGCAGCGTTGGGATGGTGCTCTAGGGGACTTCTCGCAGGGCCTGGATATAAATCTGTGGTGGCAAAAATGAGCTATAATATTAAGATCGAGTACTTGCAAAGAACAACACGCGTACACCATCTCGCCTTTGATCAGTTCGAATATAATGCTGGACACAGTTGAGTATTTCATGACAACTCAAAGAAAAGACAAACATACAACTGGCACTTGGCCTCAGCCTTGCTGAGGCTCTCTCGAACATCCTTGGCTATGATGTCGTGCCATTCCCATTTCTGCGTTGGACTTGATCTTGTCTTTGAAGTGCTTTCCAGCAAGGGGAAGATGTCCAATGTATGTCGGATATGCAAAGTGGAACTCTCTCGCAGCATCCAAGAACATGTCCCCGATCCTTTGGATGATCGGTGCTTGCTCACATTGCTGAACATACATAGCTTCCACTAGTCTCCTGTTGCATTCCTGAAGATCCAGGATGTTTCCAAAAACCTCTTGAACAAACTTGTCTAGCTTGTGAGCCGGCATGACAGGAGGACTTGCTTTCAGCAGTGGCCGATGAACAACTAAAACAAGGAGATTGAGTGGGTCAGACTATCAAGTAATATAAGGCACTGACCACCTGACGATGTCATCCCACAGACTAAGAGTGAATGTGACGCCAAACCCACCAGCTACAAGAAACATGCTTGGATTTGCAAATGAGATGTCGGACATCAAAACGATGGCGCCAGTGGTGTTGTGCGGATGTTGATTCACCTGCCAGAGATGGTGGTGCATGCGCGTGGCAAGGATTGCAAGAATCAAGACCTGAAAAATATATGTGGGGACAACCACAGATGGATCAGGAAGTTGATTAGTAGACAATTGAGAAAATGCCGGTATGAAAAGTAGGGAAGATCATACAAGATTGGTGGGCTTGAGAGTGGGGCAATTAAACAGGGCAATTAAACATTGATTGCAGAGAAATATGGGGCTGTGTATAGATGTATAAATTTGAATGCTGGGAGCTGCCTGTGGATGTTGCAAGCATGGGAGAAGGAAAAACGCTACAATGAGCTTCCTGCACAGCAAACTCTGAGAACATGTCAGTCAGTCAAGTCTACATGCACAACATACCTTGAGACAAAACTATGAGCCAATAGGAGTCAGGGACTTGCAGCAGCAGCAAAATTGAGGTAGTGTAGGTGCTGACAGATGGTGGTTTTGGTGGGGTTCGAACATGTCCAAACTGGTTCTGGTTAGCTCTGAACCCCGAACTGGACTTAAGGTTCGGTCCAGGGGCCATGCTGGACCTGTGACCAGACCTTGAGTCTGGTTCAGAAAGGTTCTGGTTCGAACCGAGGTTCAGAACCGAACTGCGGCAGCACTACAATCGCCTCTCGATGCCTCAGTGCATACTCAATCATGTCGAATGTCGAGTTCCAGTGTGTGGAAACATCCTGTGGGAGTGTCGTAACCCTCATCTTCAAAGCTTCAAGAATTTCATGCCAGGCCGGGTGGAGTTTGACAGTCGAATGTATGATCTTGAATCCAAGTTTGCAAAGCTAGGTACTATGTCAATTTTCAAGGTATGTTTCATGATCTGAACTCCCACCTTTGTGAGTACTAACTTGATGGGACACACACTATTCCTAAGGTTTTCCTGCTCGATATCTGTCAACAAAGAAACTTCATCGACCAAGCCATCCATGTCATCTTCGTCATCAGCTATCAACTCTTCTGTGTCCTCGTCGTTTGTGGATGCCTTGAATTCACGGAGCAAGGACTTCACTACAAGATTGACGGTGTGCAAAAAGTACCGTGTGTGCAATGCTTTTCCACCAAAGTCGGGGAGTGCGGTACTGAGTTCATATCATTACTGTGTTATTCAATGCGTTGTCGCATGTAACAGCCAGGATCTTCATTGCAGTAAGTCTCATTGAATACATTGTGTTGATTGGACTAACTTTTTCTATGATTCCAAAATCATCTAGTATCTGTTCAAACGCTCCCGCTAATTCCTTGCTGGTATGCGACTAACATGCTCAATATCAATCAAGTCAGGCCAAAGTAAGTCATCCTTACTTTTGGTATCTCAACAATATCTAATGGCAGACTCAGCGGCACTCCTTTATGTTTGAGGTGCGCAGATACAGTGACCAAAGCTCGATGGTTTGTTGAAGTCCATCCATCTGTTGTGAAGTTGACTTTACCTTCATGTTCCTGCCGGTGAGTATATTAGATTCATGCTGCGCTATGTTTAAATGATGACCGTGCCTTTGTGATTTTAGCTATGCGCTGTCTTGTCCTGGCAAAGACCAACCAAATGTCACGTGACACTGTAGCAGGCGAAAGTAAGTAATATTCAGGTCTTCCGGTCTTCATAAGAGACTGAAATCCCCTGTCCCTGACGATTTCAAACGGTCGTAGACTTTTGGCGACCCAACAAACAATTTCAGCCCTTATCATGGCTATCTCAGCTCTCAATCCAATTAGGAAAGATGATGGCGTACTTTGTCTCAGTCCGTGTATGTTGGCAATGCGAGTATGTCACTTTCCCCTTGCCTTTTCGCTCGAATGATGTTGTGATTGACCCACTCCATAGGATGCTACCAACTATCTTAGTCCAAACCTCCTGGGCATCTTTGGCTTGGTCTGCAGATTGCAGAACCTCATCACCCCAGCATGATTTGACGTGCTTCTGCATGTTACCAGTAGACCTCGCATCCTTTTTGTCAAGGAATCGTTGAATTGTAGTTTTGCATCCTCGAGCACAGCACTTGAACTGATGTGCGTGACATCCATTGTGCTCAATGATACAGGGTTTGGGCTCGAAGAATGCATATACAGGTGAGCACCACTCCTTTATTAGTTGAGCTATCATCTGATTAACAAATTGTTTTAATTGAAGATCATATTGCATACTGAGCTCATCTTCAGCAGTTTCAATGTCTGGACTTGGATTGCGAGTCTCATTGGCATCATCGTTGCTCTCGTCATCATCGACCATGATCACATCATTATGCAGATCAGCCTCTTCCTCTTTGTATGAACCACTGCTCGATGTCCCTGTACTGGTGTAGCTGCGGGACTCGGAGTAGCTGTGACATTGTCTTCCATGTCATCCTTTGTGCGACCATGGTTCGGGATACTTTTAGCCTTCTTGGACTGGCTTGGTGCCACATTTTCCCTATTCATGTCATTCTTCCGTTTCTTAGTCGAGGGGCCATCAAGCTTCTCTTCGAGGGCTGCCTTTGCCTTGTCCATGAGTTTGGTGACTCATTTTGCCATTTTTGTGAATATGTTTGGCTGCATGATGTCTATGACTCACGGCTAGAGGATAGTGATACTGATATGCTTGCTATTGATTTTTTTAACAACTGTACAGTATGAGTAGCCGATTTCCCGTTTAGGTAGCGAAATATAGTGATTTTGACGTGTCAACCCAAGCTGCAGGTATGGGTGAGGGTGCGGGTGCCTGAAACATGGACCCCCATCCACACCCTCGGGACACCCATACCCACCACCCGCACGGGTTTCCGAAACCCATGCAGTTGCCTATACACTATACACATTGTCCTTGATCTATGTCCTACAGCAATGAGTGTTCAATCGTAACTCCCACCTTATGTGCCCCAACACCCAGAAACTCGACATTGCCTTGTCCAATATTCAATTCTTCTTGTTAGTATTCTGATCAGTGCTACAGCCAATATATTAGAGTCTGTGTATGCAAAGGATCCAGAGCCCTATCATATGTCTGCCCTCTCCAGCAAAGCCTGGGTCATGGAGCTGTTGAGATTCATGCACAATTCACTTCTGCACTCTGTTCAGGCACTTTCGAGAAGATTAAGAAATCTGTTGCTTCATCGGGTGTGAAGAACACAACAACAACTGGCTACATTCTTGAAACAGTTGTTGAACTGGGGAAGAAACTGCACAAGTGGAGTACTGGCATTCAAGCAAAACTAGAGAGCAAAATCAAAGCTATTTTAGAGAAGCAGCTTGAAGACCTCCTGCAAGGGAGCAAACTCAAGGATGCTCAATCCATTATTAGGTGTTGAAGGTAAGACTGAGTTTTGCATTTTCAGCTGTAGCTGTACATTGACCTTTCGTCAGGTTTCAATGTTTATCAGGACACGCCGACAGAGATTCTCCATCAGTTACCAATTTTTTTTTGTGTCGTGACATGCTTTATCTCAGGCTCACCTGTTTGACTCATGTACACATTTTGTACATATGTACATAGTAGTGCAGAACTTGGCACACCATCATACTAGTGTTAGCTGCCGAAGGGCTTAAGAGTGATATCGATTTTGGTCCCACACGCGTCAAAACAATCGCAGATAACATTAGTTTCTCAAAAGGCTGTAAATATTCGAGGTACAAGCATAATGCAGTCTGGCATCGCTGGCCAGCAATTCAGCCAGGGCCACACCCTCGTTATCATTGGCCCTGAAGGCTACGTCAGGAACTATTGAACACAGTTGGACAACACGCTACCGAGCTCATTGAAGCAGTTCCCAATGCAAAGGTCCAGTGGTGAGGTTAAATGCCCCAGGATAGATCATGGCATGACAACCTTAAGAGTTTGTGTGTTTTTCATTTTTCGTATAAATCAGGTAACCACGAACCTCGCTGTGCTGCAATCATCGCCAGCGGGAACCTGACATTGTAGCACAAACCGAGCCCAATACGTGCAAATTCTTAGGAGAGTTTCATTGAGTGTGGTGCAAGCACGTTGAATGAGGTTCACACCAGTGTCAAAATAGTTCGCCGTTGTTCCTCCTGTCAATGTTTTGCTCTCCTGTAGGTACGATGAGATCCAGAAAAGACGCTAAAGCGAGAACTAGTAAAGGGTATACCTTGAATTTTATCTTCCCAGGGATATCAATGTCAAATAGGTGAACCTTGCGATGTGATGCAACAAGTGCACCTCCATCCACGTGCATCAGTGTTGATTGGAAAGAGTTTCAGGGAACTTGACACCTGTCGGAGAATACACAGTGCAGGTGTTGTAGATGTTGTTTGTCTCCACATCTCTCTTGGGTATCGAATCTGTTAGACAAAATATAAACTTTCTATCCCTTTGCCACACATTTGAGCGAGGTATGACCTCCGATGAGCCAGATTCATGCCTCCTTCACAGCAGAAAATAGCATCTTAACACTTTCGCTTACACTCGCTTGAATATCATACTCCTTACCAACAGTGTAGCTGATGTTCTCGGCATATGCGGGGAAGTGAACAAAGCCGTACGGCAAGTTGAAACATTCCTGAAAAATGAGTTAGAGTTGGGTGAAACAAAATTAATTCCATACTGGCAATACAATAACTTGAGGCCTCTTGTCTGAATTGCTCTTTGCTGCCTTCAGAAATTGTGGACCGAAACAAGCAAATTGAGCGGACCACCAATGGGCCAGTACCAATCATGGGACAGAGGATTTTTTTGTTATACCTGTACCCTAATCGGGTCCAGGGATTACTAATCCTTTTACTCCTGTGCTCATACAGTCATCATGTACAGCTGAGTCCAACATCTCCTGCGGAGCCTCTGGCTCTTCACCTCTCAAGTCACTTGATGCACGGTAGGCAGATTAACTTCTTCGAAGCCCTTGATACTCACTCAATTTCTAATCAAAAACTTTTGCTTTCTAATGTCATGAGTTGCTTCAACTCCCTCAAGCGAGTCATGCTGGAGTTTTGTTTGTTGGCTGCATCTGATTTGGTCCGAAGCCCATCGTCAGATGGCTCAGCTGAGCAAGAGGTGAGTCAACTCACACAATGAAAGCCTCCTCTGACACCTCCTGTCAAGGCCACCATCAGCTGTTAGTAATGCCATGGTTCAGTTCTGGTCTGCTCAGGCTCGGTCTTGTCCGGTTTACTAATAACTTGGCTGACCCAATGCAAACTGAGTCACTGATTCGAATTGAATGTGGTTTGCTAGTCACATGAACTCAATCAAACCAGCTTCAACCCAAAAAATTGAGAACTACGGTTTAAGCCGGCTTTAGCCAGCTCAAGCTGGTTTGCAAACATGGCATCTGGTCCAAAGTTCTCTCACAGTCTCACTCAGTGACACTTTTGATTCATTGCAACTTGGATCCATTGTTGTATTTTTGTTACTCTTATATGATGAATAAGGTCCCCATTCGAGTTGATGGCAGGTTCAGGCTTGGCGATGTTTAGGGATCCAGCTCATATGGTATGTCTTTTACATACCAACTTCATTTTCATTCAGATTTAATGTATGGATCCCAATGTTTAGCTGTCATGTACCATGCACAAAAACATCATTACCAGTGACACGGTTGCTGTTAAACTTGAACCCATAATCGATGGGTCATCTTCTGTACAGCATGAATATTATATTTTAAAACGACTCAAAGGTGGAGTTGGAATTCCCCGCGCTTTTTGGTTCGGCAGAGAGTCGACATATCACACTTTAGTTCTTGACCTCCTCGGGTCATCGCTGCACAATCTTTTCCTTGCACATAATCGCAAATTCTCCCTTCACACTGTTGTCAACTTAGCGGACCAGCTGGTCAGTCAGTTTGTAGTAGGGCCACTGCAGATAGCTAACCCATTCACAGCTCTCATGTCTCGAGTACATCCACTCACATAATTATGTCCATGGTGACATTAAACTGCAGAATGTCATGGTGGGTCTCCATGATTTGAGGCACACTGCCTTTATCATTGATTTTGGCATCACAAAGGAATACTGCGACACTTCAACCAGACTCCATGTACCATTCCATCATAATCGACGTCTCACTGGCACTCCCGCCTTTGCCTCAACAAACAATCACTTAGGAGTCGAGCCAGGTCGTCGTGACAATCTCGAGTCACTCGCATACATGCTGATCTATTTCTTGCATGGGTCTCTCCCATGGTTAACCGGTGACCATGGGAAGCTATCTAGCTCTTCTATGCTCGAGCGCAAAGCAAACACCACCATTGAAGCTCTATGTCGTGGTATTCCTGTTGAGTTCGCTACTATGCTTATCTACACATGCTCTCTTGCATTCTCAGAGGACCCGGACTACGACCACCTTCGTTCATTGATTCATGGTATTCGTGCTACATTTTCTGTACCAACAATGGACTTGCTAGATTTCAGCCAGTCCGGTGATCCTGTCACAATAGTCACATGTTCCCCTCCATTCTCCGGCGAATGCTTGGTAGCTGAGGTGGTGACCCCATGCCTGCTGAAGGTAATGCCTCCTCGTAGATCGACTCGTATGTGAGTATCCCATTTCATCTTCCCACTTGTGAAATGAAGCTAAGATTGATTGTCTGCAAGCTTACATCCACATAACAACTCCCTGCCATGTGCAATTACTTCAACACCATGCCAGAAAAAAGAGACTGGTTGCTAGATCGTGACACTCTGGTGAAATTATATGTTCTCTTTACATACATGTATATATATTACCAATGCTGTAGCCTGTAGGTCTGACAAATTAAGCTGTACAGTTACATTATGCCAATGAAAATTGTTCTCCACTTCCTAAATTTCCCGATTCCCACAGTAGAACCATGCTGCACACAGCACAGGCCTTCAAGCTGCACAACTCCCATGAAGGGGTCGTTATGATTGACCGCTGAATCATAGACCTTTATATTGCATTTCTATTAACATACAGGCTCCAACACCCCACTGCCTTTTCCCTGGGTGTCATTCAACTGATCGGCCGATTGATAAAGGTACTTCCTTTCACCTGATTGATTGCACAGTGTTATGGATGCATCGTGGCTCAGAGATTATTCTAACAGTATTTTTTGATAGAGATCTGGAGTCTGGAACATCTGGCTACCATTATTACCCTCATCGTATCACTAATCAGTGATCAGGGTGCAATTTATTATGTGGCATACGCCCAACTTGCCACATGGAGGGGATTTGGCTAATGCACTGCTTCCTTTCGTTACTGCGACACCTTGTGCTCTGATACTCACCTATATAAACAGTGAATTATGTGGTCAGATTTTCACCATCTCCAATATGCCTCCTCGCCAACGTGGGCAGGGCAGGGCCCGAGTTGTTGTGGCCCCCATGGCTGCTGAACCCCTTCCCACTGCTGGCCCCATCCCAATTGTTACTACTGTTGCTACCCCTGCTATTGCTATCACTCCTGCTGTCCCCACTATCACCCCTGCTATACCTGCTATCACCCCCGTCCCCACTGCTATGTTAGCATCAGCACATGCTACCACCCTTCATATCACCCATCGACCCCCTGCCAGACCCCGAGCTAACAATCAAATTCATGCTGGTCCAAGTTATACAGCAGAGGAGGGGGAATCCTTCGACCTCAATATCTCTGGTGATGAAGATGAAGACGAAGCGACAGCTAGCCCGCTTCAAACAACCACGGATACCACTCAGACCAACCCACATGCCACGGGTAGTCGAGTAAAGCGGTCCAAAGTTGCTCACGATACGCTCCACTTCTTCAGGGACGATAAAACCAATAACTGCTGAGTCTGCAAAGTTTGCAAGTAAGTATTGTGTCTACAAGTGCTTGGTTCTTTCTTACAAATTTCACCAGGGAAATTTGTGAAGGAGACCCAGAATATGTCGTCACCACGTACAGTATTGCCCCCGGGACCTCAACCCGTCGCAAACATCTTTTTCACGCTCACACCCAATGTTACCTTGAAGCATTAGAACGCAATGGCTGGCCCGTGTACAGTGACTTAAAAGAACTTATTAGAGATGGCTGGACGTTAGCAGGTATAATTCAAGTGCTAAAGGACCCAGCTAAAACGATCGAATCACTTGGTCCCCCCCCTGTTAGCAACTCACTCCCTGGAACTTCAGGACTGCCCGGCGATGTGCTACCTGATTTCTCACTGGATGAGATGCATCGCCAGCTTGTAAAATTCATAGTTGCTGATGATCAGGTGAGTCACTCACTTTCTACACGATTTTGTTCTTAATTATTTTCAGGCTATCAATGTAATTGAGTGCCCTGAATTTCGACGATTGATCTGCCTTCTGCGACCAGATATCCAAGATATGGATATTTTCCATTGCACCAAAGTGCGCGAACTAATACTTCAAGCATTCGATGAGTATTTTGAAGTTTTGAAGCGTGACCTCGCAGTAAGTGCACAGTTGTCGAGTGTCCCACAAAATATCTTACATCTTCCAGAGAGCACAAGGGAAAATCTCGTTTACATCTGACCTGTGGTCGGATGCTAACCTTTGGCCATTTATGGCGGTTACTGCACACTGGATCACTAGAGAGGATCATTTGTTGGTGCTGGTGCTGAAGGCAGCACTGATTGCCTTCCACCACGTGCCTGGGAGTCATAGCAGAGTGTCGTTAGCAGGTGAGATGATGATGCTTCTTGATCGTGCTGAGGTAGCGCAGAATGTAAGTCTGTAGTTTTACCATATGACATGCTCTGACTTCGTTTAGATGGGGTACTTTACTTTAGACAACGCCGGCAACAACAACACTTGCATGGAAGAGCTGTCATCCTTACTGAGCACACACAATGTAACTTTCCATCCAACTGCTCACCGGATCCCATGCTTCCCACACATTATTAACATATGTGTGAAGCATATCCTTCAGGACTACCCAACAGCTGAATTTATGTATGTAGGTGACAGTTGGGTAGTAGATGGCACAACCATCCAGAAGGCGGAGTACGTCGCAGTCTTACGATCCAAGGCTCTCGACCATGCCAGAGATGTTGTGTGCACAATCCGCAAGTCGAACAAACGATGCAAGGCTTTCAGGGAGATGATCATTAGGGGGAACAAAAGAAATTGGTATAAAGATGACAAAGGCAATCCCAAGCAGCTCCTGATCGTCGAACTTCTACTGGATGAGGCCACACGATGGGATTCAGTCTACATTATGCTGAACCGTCTACGGACCCTCCGCAAGGTAAAGCTCCCTCAACAAATATCTTGTCAGGGACTAACAGTCGCCCAGCCCCTCAATAGATTCCTCCAACAATCGCTGCCAATGAAAAGGCTGACTCCAATGGAATGGCATTTTCTGGAGTAATTCCAGAGGTCAGTATTGGTGTATTTGAGACTCGTAAGTCGTGATCATTTTTACCATTTTACATTAGGTGCTGCACGCTGCTCAGCAAATCATGTCATGCGAAAGGACTCCTGTGCTGAGTCTTGCAGTTCCAGCTTTCGAAGACTTAATGGAGCAATGGAAGGAGATTGCAGCACTCATTCCACACTTCACGCCTCTCATCGAGATAGGCCTGATCTGGGCTGATAAGTACGATGAACAGATGGGCACCACAAATGCCTATGCTGTGGCAATGTGTCAGTCCAGCGAATTGTTCACAATGTTTGATATCTTGCAGACTGACATGATTTTATAGTTATTGATCCTGCAATTCGGATGTCGTGGGTTCAAGCCCATTGGGATGAAGCCCAAAGTAACGCTGCCAAGTCATTCATACTTGATTTGGTACGTCTAATTCACCATTGCTTGAAGTTTGAACTGATCATGTAATATTTCCCAGATGCATGCCAAGAGAGCAGTGTCGAAACCCACTGAATCCGCCCAGCCTCCAGTGCCACAGCAGCAGCCACGCATGCTAGGCTCACACCGCTATGGACTTCATGAAGTGAGGGTGCTACCGAGTGTCCATGAGCATGCGCGAACAGTCGATCAGGAGTTCAGGGCATACAGCACAGGTATGCTCAGCAGCAAGGGGATGAACATCCTTGTATTTTGGCAGGTGAGCACTGTGTGTATCCTCAAGTTACGCCTCTCGTCGTTGACCACGAGGGGTCGACCAGGTTTTTAAAACAATCTTTCCAACTATATTCGCTATCGCGATGGACTACCTGCCCATACAGGCCTCCACTGTTCCATGCGAATGGGTCTTCTCATCAAGTAGTGAAACTGTCACTAAGAAACAGAATCACATCTCCCCAGTGCTGATGGAGGCCCTACAGATTGTCAAGTTCCTCTTGAACAAAGAGCGACTTAACTTCACTCAAGGTTGGGCAGCATCACAAAAGGAGATGGAATTCCAGTTATTATTGAACAACTCTGACGATGACGATGAACACCCGCTACGAGCCCCTTCAGTGACAAATTCCGTATTATACGGGCCACCCGACCTCCATAATATCCCGTATGAGACGGGCTAGCTGATCATGGGCCCATGTTGTGTATATTCTCGATGATGACGGATGGGCCGGGACTCATATTATTTCCGATGGAGACGGGTGGGCCCATGTATGCCAATGATATATATATCCTTAATGTTGACGGATGGGCCGGGGGAATATGATCATTCATGGAGATGGGTGGGCCCATCTGGGTAATATGTAGAGTAGGATATTATAGACAGCTGGGCTGAAGAGAGATGTAAGGCAAATATTGTTATATAGACGGGCGGGCCGACGTGGGTGTATTACATATATGGGTGGGCCGAGGTAGGGGAATATTACATAGACGGGTGGGCTGACGTAGGGTGTATTACATATACAGGTGGGCCGACGTGGAATGTATTACATATACGGGTGGGCCGACGAAAGAGATATCAAATAGACCGGTGGGCCGAGGGTGCTATAAAATATTTATTACATAGACAGGTGGGCCGAGGTGGGGTATAATTATATAGATGGGTGGGCCGATGTAGGATGTATTATATAGACGGGTGGGCCAACATAGGATGTATCACATAGACGGGTCGGCCGACGTGGGGGATAATACATAGACGGGCGGGCCGACGGGGGTGTATTACATATATGGGTGAGCCTAGATATGTTCCATCAAGACATACAGCTGATGTAGCCACCAGCGAATCAAACACATAGGATACATGTACACTATGAGTGCATATACCTACCATCAACCACCAAATCTAAACCCCTAAGCACAAAAACATGAATCTATCATGTGTGGCATTGACCAATAATCCAGGACTGAAGTGGAAAAACCCCACACCTGAACCCTGGTGTGCAACAAATCCTATTTCTAAGCATGGACACCAGAAGCACAACACTCACAAAAATATATATGTCAAATTTTCAGTGCCAAACCCCAAACCGAGATGTACCAACCCCCGAACCCCGAAACCCGAGAGTGCTGGGTCTCGGGTCTCGGGTGTCCGGAACTCGGAACTTGGGAGAATTTGGGGAGATCAATACAATTTAATTTACAATCGAGTTGATTGACAACACATTGACTTACCCATGTTTTGCAATATATTTTTGTTTAGACATACCGAGTTCCGAGTTCCGGACACC